AATGGTTTATAATGAAAATCTCCTGTCTTTTCAAAGATATAATTTATTAGACTCCATATGCTTAGTACTCAAAAAAATTTTTTTTAAAGTAATGTCATTTTGCTGAGAGAGAAACTAGGAAGGTTTAAAAAAAGTGTTGTTTCCGCTCAATCTGTCATGGGTTAATGAAGCAGGCACATACACAATACCAGCCACTCACCTGCACGTGGAGAACACAGACAGCCCCAGGAGCCCTGGAAGCTCTGAGCTGGAAGTTCCTATCCTCCTTGCCCAGAATTTGCAGTGACATCCCCACTCCCTACAATGCTTCAAACTGGTCTTACAGATTTGCATTTTCAAAAATTTGAAGGACCTGAACCTCAGCAGCAAAAATGGGGTTGCATTATGTAAGGCAGGGACTTGCAACCCTGGTACCCAAGGACAGGGAATTTCTCATCACAGAAGCCTCACTGTGTAGAAGGCGTCCCAGCTGCCAGCAGCTTCCATGATAAGGTCTCAGATCCTTCGTGCAGGTCAAAATCAAAACTTTTTCTAACTTACACCAAATTGAATTTTCTTAAAGGTTGTTGTGTGTGAACAAGGAAAGACAGCAATAATCATGAGAATATCTGATGAATCTTATTATGTCCCTGGCACTGTCTGGAACGAACACACACGCACACTCACATGCACACGTGCGCCCCTTTATGGAATAAAGCAGGGCTCTTGTTGAAGTTGGAAATTTAAAGAGGAGAGGAGAATTCTAGTCAGTAAAAGCTGAGTTCCTGAACTTTGCGTGTTGTGAAAACTGTGGCTTCACCCACAGAAGAAAGAGAGACCCCGTGGACGCTGAAGAAGGCAGGTGCCTGTACTAGATAGATCCTTAGTCCCAGACCCCAGTCCTCAGGTGCTGACACTGCTTCCTGTCCTAAGGTTTGGTATCTTCCAATACAAACTCCTTAGCGCCAGTTTGTTTAACATCGTTTGAATGATTTCTTGCCTTTGCTACTGAAACCCCAGGCTAAACCCATAGGACAAAATGATTTCCCCACCTGAAAAGCTATGGCCAGGCATTACCAGAGCTATTCAGGATGTTCTCCTTTGAGAGTGGAACTCTGTGTAGAAGCTGTGGCTCTCACTCATTGTAATACTTTCTCCATCTTCCAGGGAGTTGCTGATGCTGGGAGTTCAAAATGCTGATTGGAGCTGCAACTTCTGAGGCTTACTTGATCTGAGCAAGGCTTACTGGAGAATTCAGGGAGAACACCAGCATTGCAGAAAATTCTGTGTTAAACTAATAGCAGCCTCTGCCCTCCAAAGATAAAGAAGTTCTTATGCATACTTACATCATAATTGACTCCTATCAACCCTAAAAGTGCAAAATCACTGTTTTCCATCTGCTTATTCCTCCCACTGAGCGGTGCCCTGCTTGCTATCCTGTTGTTGCTCTTACAGTTTATACCATGATGGAGTCAAGTTTCCAAGATAACAGTCATTTTGATTGAACTTGGGGTCTCCTCAGTGCAAAGATTTTCCTTGAACTCACATAATGACATATCTAGATAATATAAATATAGGTAGATACAATTAATAATTCTTCTTAGTACATTGTCAACAAAGCTTCAAGTTCAATAATCTTATTATGTTCAGAAAATTGGAAGTAATAGAGACAGATCCAGTTAACTTTCTGTTAGGGCAGCCTTTTTATCACCATGAGATGAATTAATCCAGCATTTACCTTAAATACCTTTGACCATCTCTCTCTGACCTTCCATCAAGTCTCAAAACCTGTCCAGTTCCACCAGTCCACGAAGGTCCTTGCTACTTTCTACATTTAAATTTCAAATTATGAAGTACATATTGTTCAGGGATAATAATGGGCTATGAAATAGATTTATTCTGAAAACAAACGCACTTGAAAACACTCTTCACTCCAAGAGAAGTGTTGGTACTAATCATGAAAAAGTATGTAAGCAATTACATAAAAAATATGCCTGATAAATTCTAGAATGTTTCTATACTGGTCCTTTGGGGACTAAAATATATTGTGTCCTGGTTCCATGTAAGAGTGAGTTGATCTAAGGATGGGTGTCTAATTCCCTGACCACCTGAAAAATTCCATTAATCTGTATCCTTTTTCTGAGCAGTGAAATCTGTTACCTTATGATATTTCTACAGGAGACATCCCCTAATTTCTGTGGGAAGCAATTACTTTTTATTTACAGAAACCTTGAGGTCAGTGGCAAATGGAGATGGTAAATAATGAAGTTCCCGAGGATTTAGCATCAAGGAGGTTGGATTACAGGGATCACACTGCAGGCTTTATCCTCATTCCTGTCTGGTGATAGGAGGGGACATTCAGAATGGGACACTATGTCAGAGTGTCCACAGTCGGCGTGTTGTTTTAGCTGGTGAGGAAGCTTGGCTGAAAGGTAGGACTATGCTTAATAACAAAATAGGTGTGCACTTCACTCAGGTCAGAAGTCTGTCCAAGGTGCATTTCCCCTCTGGCTTATTTGTGCTATTTTTTTTTTCTTATGTGCTTCCTTGAAAACAGGATTCTTCAGAGACAGACTGAGGGCTTTTTCTTCTCAAAAGAAAACAGTGTGAAATGTGCTGGTGAAATTAAGGTACCAGAGAATAGAGGACAGGCAAGCTGCTTCCTCCTGTAAAACTCACGTTTGTGTGAGAATATGGAGAAACTGGAACTCTTATGTCCTGTGGAGTGTAAAATGGCATAGCCACTGTAGAAAGCACAATGGCAGTTCCTCGGAAAATTAAGCATAGGATTATGTTAAATGCAGAAACTCTACTTCTGGGTACATACACAAAAGAATTGAAGCAGGGTCTTGAAGAGGTGCTGTACACCCAGGTTCACAGCAACGTTATTTACAATAGCCCAAGGGTGCAAGTGCCCCCCTGAAGGAGGCATGGATAAGCAAAATGTGGAACTACACATAAAGAAATATTACTCAATCTTCAAAAGAAAGGGAACAGAATAGTAAGTGAAAAACATTACAGTAAATAAAACAAACGTCTCACAAAAGACAAATGCTGTATGATTTCACTGAAATGAGTTATATAGGGTAGTTCAAAATCAGAGAAAATAGAATGGTGTTGCCAGGGGTTGGGTGGAGGGAGAAGCAAGGTTATATTGCTTAATAGGTACAGAGTTTCAGTTCTGCAAGATGAGAAAGGTGATGGGGTAGACGGTAGTGATGGTCGCTCCGCACCATAGATAAGTTTGACACCAGTGAGCAGTACAACTGAAATGGTTGATAGTAAATTTTTTGATATGCATACATTCAAGCAATAGAAATAAGATTTTTAAAAAGCTAACATCAAAAACTTAAAAGTACAACTGAACAAATAAGTGAACCTCTAGTGGTGAGATACTCATAAGCTGAGGCATAAGACACAGTCTAGCAAAGTGTACTTCAGCAGGAAATCCTACTTCAGTGTTTATCTTCCAATAGAAAATGAATCTAGGTCCATAATTGAAACTTTCTCACAAGCTAATCTATGGGGAGATGCGTTTATGTTGGCAGTCAGAAACATCCTGCATAAAGCTTAATTATAATTACTGATCCCCCACCTGACGTGTGTGCCACATCAAGATGTAGCACCTGCCACTTAGACAGATCTGAGTGGACCATTCCCATTGCTAATAATAATAACAATGCCTGATTATTTGAGTGCTGCTATGCAGCTCTCTTGGACAACCTCACTGTAGCAAATACTTGATAAAATTGTAAGGATAATAGTGTCCAAACAATTCATGTGAGTAGAAGTGATGGTCACTTTATAGAGGAGGAAGATCACCCATCCTGGAATACTGGGTAAGTCATTAACTTCTGGAGCTTTAGTATATGCTCACTGGAAACAGAAATAATAAGTGCTTTATATTCAACCATGAGCTCATAGTTCGCACCTTGGTGTCAATCTGTTGACTTCAAAAGCCACACCATTTAATTTGAGGGTAAAGTGCATAACATGGTATTAATTGGGCCATTTCAAAAATATATTGCCCGATTATTTAGCATTTCTTCCACTGTGAGGTGGGTGGGATCCAAGATTTTTCTCCTTGACCCTAGCTGAATGTGCAATTGCTTCAACTAACAGATTATGCTGGACATGACTCTGCAAGACATCTGAAGTTGGGTCCGTGTTTCAGTCAGCTTTTTCACTACTGTGACTAAAATACCCCACAAGAGAAACTTAGAGAAGGAAAAGTTTACTTAGCTCACAGTAGCACAGGCTTCAGTCCATAGATGGCCAGCTCCATTTCCCATCAGGCCCAAAGTGAAGCAGCACATGGAGGAGAAAGGGCCTAGCAGAGGAAAGCTGCTCAGTTTGTGATGGGGTCAAGCAGCAGAGAGAGGAAGTAGGAAGAGGCTGCAGGGAAGATGCACCTCCTGGGGCTTCTACCCAGTGACTGACCACCTCCAGTCACACCCCACCTGCTGTCCACTCAGTCAGTTCATTCAAATTAGAAAGGACTGATCAGGTTACAGCTCTCACAATCTCACAGATCATTTTACTACTGAATATTACTGCATTTCGACAGGAGCTCTGGGGGGACACCTCATATCTAAACCACAGCAGTCAGAGAAGGTGGTACAGACTGTAGGGGACTTGCTTGAGGACAGAATGCAAGCGAGCTAACTGCATGTAATCAGCCCAGCAACCCTGACACTGGCATTCTGGAAGGTCACCACCACAGGTGCTCCAGTTGACAGACACAGCTAAGCTCTCAGCCATCATACAGCACCAAATGTTTGCCATATGACTGAGCCATCTTGAACACCAGCCCTGGCTGACATCTGACTGCAATTACATGAGAGATTCCCAATTAAGAACCATACACATGCGCCTTTCCCAAGTACCAGATCCATGAAATCATAAGAAAAAAATAGAACTGTTTTAAGTTATGAAATTGTGTGTGGGGGAGTGCGTTTAACATATTACACACTGTGTTATCCCATTTAGTCCAATATCACACAATACCATAAAACAAGGAGTTTATGAACAATAGGAATTTATTTCTCACAGTTCTTCAGACTGGCAGCCCAAGGTTCAGGTGCTGGCAGATGCTGGGTCTGGGGAAAGCTCACTTCCTATTTCACAGATGGCACCTACTCTGTTTCACCCACATGGCAGAAGGGGTGAAGCAGCTCCCTGTGGCCTCTTTTATAAGAAAAGTAACTCCATTCATGAGGGTTCCACCCTGGACTTAACCACCTCCCATAGTCCCCACTTCCTAAAACCACCACCTTAGTGGTAACATTTCAACATGTAAATTTTGGAGGGACACAGCATCCAGACCAGTGATCTTAGCAGTAGTGACCAGGATGCTGTAGCAGCACAAACATGGAGAACACAGGTGTGCAGCCAACTCCTTCCTTAACTTCCATGACTCCCCATGCCACTGGTAATATCCCACTTCCTGGGATCTCTTAAAGAAACTTGGAGATTTGGAAGGGAAAAAAAAAAAAAAAACAAGTGAAGGTAACAGGTAGGAACTATACCTAGAAAGTGTCAACATAACCCTGTTTTAATTCTGCAGGCACACGTCCTTGTGAGGCATCGCTGTCAAAGTCATCTGCCGCAGGGTCGGGTTTTCCTTCTTGTCCCAGCCGTGACAGTTTGGGGCTACATCCTGAAAGTGGAATAACGTGAAGTCATTTAAATTGTCTGAGTGCATTAGCTGGCAGATGCTCAAGCCCCTACACAGATGTGCCTTTTACTACGTGACTAACACTGCATGGAAGTGAAGACACAAGTACCAAAAACCAGAGTAGTAGATTCTTTTGAAAGAGGCTCCCCATCCCCCCACCCCCAGCATGTTTGCAGAGCCAGAAAAGAAAACAAAGAGAACACTTCTATTCATTTGTAGCATGTGTGACCCTGTCACAGCAACAGAAAAGGCCTAGTTACCAGGGATTTCTTTCTCATAGAACATCCATGTGTATCATAGATATGTTATACCAAAATCCATATCAAAAAATATCTGTGTTTAATGTCTACAAGATTGAAGAGTATTTGCCTTCAGAAGCCTCTAATATTCTATGCATTAAAAGTAAATCTAATCAGGGCTGGGGTTATGGCTCAGCAGTACAGCACTCTCCTAGCACATGGGAGGTGCTGGGTTTGATCCTCAGCACGACATAAAAATAAGTAAATAAAATAAAGGTATTGTGTCCAACTACAACTAACAAAAAAAATTTAAGTAAATCTAATTATAGTGTTTTTTTTTAACTTCTTAATTTTATTTTCTTTAATTAACATATAATAATCGTACATATTTATGAGGGAGCATGTGATCTTTTAATACATGTATACAATGAGTACAGATCAAATCATGATAATATATCTATCATCTGAAGCATTGGTCATTTTGTGTTGAAACTATTCAAAATCTTCTAGCTGCTTTGAAATATAGAGTGTTTCAAGTGAACCTGTCCAATAGGATCAAGGGAAATGGTTGAAGCTTGCATAATAATAGGGGCCAGGGGGCCAGGGCTCATACTGGAAGCTCCTGATGTATCTTGGGCAGGTGGGGAGGAGATAGGAACATATGAGAGACCAGACACAATGGCGCATAGAAGTCAGGCTCCTGGGGTTGGGAGTCAATCACCTTAAGCTTGGATTCAGATTTGGGAAAGATTTATCTAACTTCTCTAAGCCGAGTTTTCCTTCACAGATAAAATGGGCAAAAGAACAGATAAGAGGAGAAGCTCTTTTAATCCCAAAGCAGTAGAATTTCTGTCTAACCAATGAGTCAAGATGATGTTGCGTTGTTTGGAGGACCACTGTGATGTGTGAGCTTGCAATTGCTTAAAATGTGGAACAAACAAAGAGTGCTGAAAGATTGATAAAATTAGAGTTGTATGTCCACTTCAAAACACAGGCAATGTGAGTGCAGATCAACATAGATTTTTTGAAGGTAACTGGACAAAATATATCAAAAGCCTCAAAAAGCACGTCCTATAATCCAGCATTTCTAATCTCTGCTTTCCTCCTATTAGCAATGGGAATACTTATTATAGACTGAGTACTCATTTATACAGTGGTTTATTATGTGGCCCTTGTAATTAAACAGATATTTATTCACTAATACAGAAAAATATATAATTTATTTTTAAAAGTTTTTCTTTAATTATCAATGGATCTTTATTTTATTTATTTATATATAGTGCTGAGAATCGAACCCAGTGCCTCCCACATGCAAGGCAAGCACTCTACTACTGAGCCACAACCCTAGCCCATGTAATGTATTCTTTTGTTTTGTTTTGTTTTTAAAGAGAAAGAGAGAGAATTTTAATATTTATTTCTTTTTTAGTTTTTGGCTGACACAACATCTTTGTTTGTATGTGGTGCTGAGGATCGAACCCGGGACGCATGCATGCCAGGCGAGCACGCTACCGCTTGAGCCACATCCCCAGCCCCATGTAATGTATTCTTAAAGGAAATAAAGCTGATTGTCAAACAGTATGGTGGGCATTATTCTATCTTGATAGGCTAAAGTTATCTGCTGAAGTAAATACACAATACGTAGATGAAAACTTAGATGGCTATATGCAGTGAAATGTTAGCAAGTGCTCAGAGTTTCCACTAGTTCTATACATCATGTTGTCTATTAGAGAAAGGTCTGGTGCTCCTCCTTCCCCAGGCAGCCTCAAGTCCCAGGAGTTCCACCTGACCTGCCCTCAACCAGGTGCTCCTCTCCATGACCAGCTTGACATCTTGATATCAATTATCTTTAGCTTGTGTGATTGTAATTTGTATTATCTTCCCTTGGCTCATCTAAATTTTTAATTTTTTCTATACTGGACAAGAATTATCATGTAATGTTTTTAAAAACCGAGTTCTAAAATATCTTGCATTACCCAGAAACCTCCATCCATCCCTCCCCATCCCACACCCAACATACATTCAGAGTCATCAGTTTGAGGTTGAGGGGGCTTGGCAAAATGCCTCCAAGGAAATCTTACTATTTGCTATTAATTTGAGATCTGTCTGGTAGTTGGTTACCATCTGCTAAAATGATCTAAACAACACAGAATTAGAAACAATGAGGATCACCCAAAGGTGGAGAGAAATGAGAAAAAAAAAAGTCAAGAATTACAAGACATTTTCATTCCTACTAAATAAAAATATTTGGCTGAATTATATTTTTAAAAGGTGATTCCTGTACTTCTCTGAATTCCTTCATGCAAAATGGTCCCCATTTGTCTGTTATTGTTTATGGCTAGAAAGGTACTACTATATTTCTTTTGGCCCTCAACCACATAGGATACATGGTGTCTGTGATTACTGCCTGAAAAACGTATGTCTCTCTTGTTGGAAATGCAAACATAGTGATGAGACTAACAAGAAGATGGAGAGATGAAATAACCTTCAGAAACACATACCCTCAGGTTTTCACACAATACTAACTTCAGTCAATACATGATATATGCATGTGCATGTCCTTCCAAAAATCTAAACATGCACTGTCAAGACAATGAGAATAAATTCCTAGGATTTCCATTTACAGCTCTGTCTTTCAATAGCATCAGCTTTTCCCATCTGTAACAAACTACCTCAAAATTTAGTGTGGCTTAAAACAGAAAAGTTATATGATCTCACAGTTTCTATGGGTCAAGAATGCCCATAGATTGCAGGAATTCCCAGTGCAGCTCAGCTGGGAAAAGAGACAGACTCAGGATCTCTCCCGAGATTGAGCACAAGATGCTGGATGAGATCACAGTTCTCCAAAGGCTCGCCTGGGGCTGCTGGACTCACCAACTCACCGCAGACATCTCATGTGGCTCTGTCAGAGGCCTCCATTCTTGGGGCTGCTTGTGTGTCCTCCCAGTATGGCAGCTGACCTCCCCCAGAGTGAGTAATTCTGAGCCTGTAATAAAAGGAGAAATTATATGCTTCTAGGCAGGTCCAACACACACCTGTAAGCACTTTATCTCTTTCTACTCACTAGAAGGAGTCACAGAGCCCAGCCTACACACAAATGGAGGGAACTAGGCTCCATACTTTAAAGGAAAGATGACAGCAGAATGTGTGGCTATGTTCCCAACCATGTCTGAAACGTGAATATATGCCTCTTACTTCTCATTTAGGATTATGTTGAAGGGTAGTTTTCTTTTATTTAATTCAAGTGGGTATAGGTTTTCCCCAGAGGCCGGAAGAACTCAAGCATATTACACTGTCTGAACCACAGAGACTTTAAGAAAGTAAGCAAATTTCAGTCTGTTCTAAAACCCACTAAAACCAATAAAGTTGGGTGGTACAGCCAGAGCTTGGTCACAATTAAGTATATTATTCCTGCAGTAGGTTATCTCTGGCATCCTGCACCCATCATCCCGGATGTCCACACTCCACTGAGAAACAGGTCACTGAGAGTTGAAGGTAGGGTAGAGAAGAAAGATGGACCCCTAAGAACCCCATGAGAAGACTAGGCCACTATATTCAAAAGCAAATTTTGTTCCTGTTATCCTCCTTTCTTCCTTTTTATCCTATTAGAGGACCAGGAGGATATAAATGCAGAATGAAGGGTTATGTAAAGGAGGCCTGCCAGTCCAGTAATAGATGCTCTTGAAAGAGAAGTCACAGAACACAATGAAAAACCCAGCCTTGCCTGTGTGAACTGGAGGACTCTGCACAGCCTGTCCTCTAGCCACCCACCCACAGACCCAGCGCTATTGCCAGTGGGGTTGCCTATGATCATGAAAGGTGGTGGGAGAAGATCGATGCTGTGGGGGATATTATTTTGATATCAGCACTAACCCTCGAATGAAGATGATTAGCCAGCAACATGGAAAGCAGCCCAGCACACTGGATTTTAAGTGCTTATGAAACCCTTTTCATTGTCGTCTAAAATATGAATAAAATGACTTTTTGTAGTGCTCTGCATCATCGTGGGCAGGAGAGGTCTATGCCTGTGTAATTCCTGAAGCAGGTATGATCACCCAACCGCCTCTGAAAATGATAAGCCAGTATCAGTCCCCTTTGTCAATGAAGAACTCAAGTCCCCAGGACTTCTGAAAAAGATGTAAGAATGCTGGTTCTTATATCTCTAAGTTTTAGATTTGGTGAGAAACAGGTTTTTTTTAAATTAATTTCTGCAAGTGAATTTATTATAACATGCAGCAGTACATTTCACTTGAGGAATCTGAATACATACTACAAGGTAGCGCTTCAACTAGGTCAGAATTTGGAGAAAGATAACTTTCTTGAATTAGATCCCTCCTGTTGTAATGCTGTTCAGCCCTCCTAAAGTGATACAGGGTGTTGGTAGAGAATTATTGCAGAAATAAGAAGTGCTAGTATTAGAGAGGTATGTATGAACACAGTGGACACAGTACCAAAGGTTTAGAGGATTCTATGTGTATCCTAATAATCAGCTACATAATGGCCATGTGACTGCACAAGGAAATGACAGTGTTAACTGGCAGAACCATGGCCTACCATAGTCAAGTGTCCTGTAGGATCTAACTTCATGCCATTACCTCAATCTGCAGTTTCCCTGAGAAGAGGGACCAAATGTAACTTTGTTTTTATTAACAGCATTTACCAAGAGACCATGCATATCATAAATACTTACATGTTTACTGTCTTAAAAAATAGTTGCCTGCATTGAGAAGCTGCCCCAGAGTTGCTCATGTTCTCAGACTTCCCAAATTTCTGTGACTTTTGCTTATTTAAAAATTCTCAATGCATATTTCCTGATAAATCAATGTGAATGGCTTTTTCTTTCCTCCTGGGCTAAGAAAAAGTGATGATATTTTTCTACATGCTTCCAATTATCATTTACATCAACAAGTGAATCTTGTTGTTAAAAGTACATAATCACTGAGAAGGTCCAAACCATTGGCCTTTGTGACTTGGATTTGAACTCTAGTTATTTTTACAGTAAGAAAAAAAGTCAGATTCCTAGGATTTTTTTTTTTTTTAAGTCTGTTAGTTGTACATTTTTAACTAGGACTTTACTCAGCCGACCAGTGGGTGTGTTGCCAGCTCCAACCTGAGCCACAGATGGTTTAGAGTAGGAAATGCATGGTGTCCTTAGGAAGAGCATACATGTGACACCTGGAGATGAGAGGGCATCATTTCTGATGAGTGGTGTCCTGGTGGGAAGGTCACCCCAATTGAGGATAGTCAGCTGAAAGATAAGCTAAGGCCTAGAGGTGGAGGTGCATGCAGGAAGACACTTCTAGTGGCCAGGTTCAGAGAGTGGTAACCATGGCGGGGCTGCTTGAAGGCCAAAATCCCCCAGGTTTCCATTGGAACTTTGGGCCACAGCATTTCCTGCGGTGCCTCCCAATGCCATCATCAGTGTATTAAAGGCTTCCTTTCCCACAGACAAGAAGCTGTTCTAAGTGAGAGGATGATGAGCCTTAGGGAACTGATTCCTAACCACTCAGAGCTCACCCCTCTCTCCAAATAGGTGATTTTTGACATTCAACAAAACTGATAACAAAGACATAGCAGCTGGCTGCTGAGTGGTGCAATGAACCCCGCACCCCAAATTACATAGTAGTTGAGTCTCTGAGGTGGATCACATCCTCAGGGGCATGTCCAAGTTCACAGCTGTACTTATGCTCTTTAGAGCTATGACTTTCAACCCAGCCCTGCTAAAGAGTTACCCACTGGGAAACAAACCCCCGAACACATTACCGCTTTAGAGAATTTTTTTAAAATGTCTTTCACAGTAGTAATAGTAACAACTCTCTCCTAGGGCCATTCTTCACTTTCACTCCTCTATTGCTTCCACTTATTAGTATTTTCTCTCTGAGAATTTCAGTTTCTTATAAAGAGGGTGTTTGCTTAAGTTTGCTCCTCTTGGCTGCTGTTCCACTTTGGAAAGTTCTTCTAAAATTGATGAGACTTGCAAAGTGATTTTTAAATGCCCAAGACCCCTAGGATATCATTCAAAATTCTAAATTTGGAGCCCCATCTGGATGCTCATCAGCTTCTGAGGTGTAAGGGGTGTCAGCTAACAGGTGATTAGATTCAGTGCATGCCTGGAAAAGCCATAATTTAGTACTTTATTCCAATGCCCATTCCCAGAACTATGAGGAAGGCTTATGTACCCTGCTAGAAATAGTACTAAGAGATACTTAATAATGAACACTGATGAATCCTGTCGAAATGATATGTTTTTCTATGCATTTGTTGACATATTTGTGTTTACTCTGAAAAAGCAAAACAACTTTACATCAGTAAGTATTTAATTTACTCTTTGAGCAAAATAAGTTATGTAACTAGCTATAAAGAATGCAAAAGCAATTTGCAAAAATGAAATTGCTTTAAGGAGTAAATGTAGAGAATGATGCTATTAAGATTATCATCAAAATTCAATTAAATTTTGACTAGTTTTTAGTTATGAAAAGGGAACACATGCAGAAGAGAAATGCTAGCCAACTGTTAAATATTAATTAGTGGAAGCAATGTTTAGTGGTTTAGCCCTGAAAGTTGATAAAGCATTTCAAATAAACTTTTAGTGAAAGCGAATTTAAAAACTACCTGGATTTTCATTTAGCAAGTCTTGAGAATTCGGCCTCTTTCACATGTGAAAGTTAACGCATTTTTTTTTTCTGTTGTGTGCTAAAAGTTCCCCCTCCCCTCCTTCTTCCCCCTTGTTGAAATCGTTACTTTCACCCATATATGGTTCCAAAAATATAAACCATCTTAGAGTGACTGTCAAAATTATTCACTTTTGGCCTAGAGCTAATTTTGGATTTTTCACTCCTAATGATATCTTCTGGGAAAATTTTAAGTGAACATAGGCTTGCAATGTACATGTTGAATCCATGGAGCATTCTCTAAAGGAAACTATATACATGAGGTTTTTCTGGAACATCTGTTTGTCAAAAAGCTGCTCATAGCTATTCAGAGACACATTTTTCATCTGTGTGTGGGTACTAGAGAACTTTGAACACCCTTACTAATTTGGAAGCAAGGCAATATCTTTTGGATGACATCACCTTCCACTCCCCTGTACTGGGAACTCAGTGTCCTCTGAACTGAAAGTCTGGACTGAGTGCCAAAGGTTTTTTCACCTGGGAATGTGTTTCCTGTAAACCCAGTTAGCCATGGCATGTGTCACTGATGGATTCTGATAATGATTCAAACCTTTTCAGTTGTAACCTACAACATATTCCTTTGTTTTCTTAGGGCCATGGCCAATGACACCTAGAATAATTGTCACACCTACCATCCTGCCACTGTTCTCACTAGGTTGACCTGTCCTGAAATGGGGAATGACACTGTTTTTCCCTTCAGAATGGCCAATAAAAAGTACTCCAACCCTTGAGAGTAGGAAGGGTCATTGTTAGCTTAACATGTGGTGTCCAGGTGCATCACACAGCCAAAGCTCCTCACGTCAGTCCCTGGTTTACCACATAATCCCATGCTAAGGTTCTTAGGAACAGAAGCACTAGATGCTGAACCACAACAGACCCTCTGCAGTAAAAAGGCAAACTGTCACTTGTCAAGCTCACTCTATTGACACAGTTTGATAAAGAAGAAGTACAAATAAAATGTGATGTTTTTGCTGTCCTATTACAGGATGGTAGGTGCCTATAGCTGCATGACAGGGAATTTCAGAATTGGTAAACAGTACTTGAAAAAAATAACCTAAAATACTTACAAGATGTTAATCCCCCCAATTTACATTGTAGTTAAGCTGTATTGACAGATTTCTTTCATAAGTTTAAGAAAACACTTTTTTTCTGGGGTTCAAAAATTCATCCTATGCAGAAAACAGATGAGCAGATTAAGAACTACATGCATCCACATGCACAAATACAGACATACACAAACATAGGCACACATGTTACATATACGTATACAGACATACATGGGTAAACACACGTGCACACACACAGAAAAACTTGCATATATATAAAGAGAGCAAGAGATCTGTATATGTAGAGAGAGAAAGATTTTGTAGAAAGATATTGTAGAAAGATCTTCACTCCTTCTCTCTTCTTCCAATAATTCACATTACTACATAAATCTTATTTCCTCTGGCTTTACAAGTAGAAGCAAAACACTTTCTAAGACATCTCTTTGTTTAAAAATATATTTTAAAAAAGACTGAATGAAAGGTGATTTTTTTTCAGGTTCTTTTATTTTTCCTATTGCTGATCTCCTCACTGAGTAAACTTGGACAAAGACCACAGACAAGCCACTGGCTTGACACACCATGTGCAGCCTGCCCTTTTAGAGCAAGTCAACGCCAAAATAGACAGCAAAGGAAAACTAAATCCAGCTTGAACAATACTGGCCCTAAAATAGCAACAGGGTTTATGACCACAGCAGCAGGAATGGCTGCTAATCATTTGCCAAGATCTTTTATTTTGGTTTGTCACTATTGAGTGACACAGGGGACTTGAAGCCCCTGTGAAGCACACAAGTTCAGAACCCCAAATCAGAGATACCAATAATAGTACATGGAGCAGAAATGCCTTCCCTGGGAAAGCTAATGAGCCAATTGCTCTTGTGATCTTCAGGTGTCAGTAGGAGGTGATTCCTGAGTTTCTGTCGTATGTCAACTCCTACCAGGTCCTTTACGTTCATCTTCTCCTTCTCTCCTCACAAGGTTTCCATGAGGTCAGTTTTGGTGTTCTCCTCCTACAGAGGAGGAAACTGAGGTACAGAGACGCAGGCTGGTCCATGGTCACTCAGCCTGAGAGCTCTCTCTGCCAAGCCATGGATCCATGAGTGAACTGGGCTGCAGGGAAACAGTTATGTTGGGGACCCATATCCAAAGACAATTGTGCAGCTCAAAATAGAGATCACAAGATCATTCTCAAACAGTACAGACTCAGGTGCTGCTAACAGGCCAAGGGGGAAGAGGTCTATCAGATAGGGGACGGCTGGAAAGAGGTAGCTGGGAGAGGCATGGTAGGGCTCTGGGGTGAGGAAAAGGCCTCAGTCGGCAAAGGCAGTGGGGGCACAGTCCTTGCAAGAAATACACAAAAGGGAAGAAGTGGAGCTGTGTCTAGGAACAGCTAGTCTGTTCCAGACTGGGAAGGATACACTGCAGTTTGTATTTACAGGTGATCTCAGAGTAATGGGGTTAAGGCTCTAGAAGGATTTGAGGATCAGAAGCTTACAGCAAAGATTCTAAAGTGAGAATCTAGACTGGGGAATTTTAAAATCTTAAAATGGGAAGTGAAAGTAGCCTGCAGTCATCAATCAATCTATGGTAGGAGGACTATTTCTGGGAGCAAAGAACAGACTGTCAGGGAGAAGGCCTAAAGGGGAAGGAGGAGCTAGAGACTATTACATGATTGAACTGTTGGTTTCTTTTGGGCAAAACTGGAAATGACCAGCACCAGTTGATACTCAGCCCATAAACTCTTGGTAAACCAAAGCAATGCAGGAGTAGACTTTGGATATTTCCTGTTATCCATGGGACCTATAGACCCAAATTGCTTCTGACTGCTAGGGAGGGACCAAGTCACTCTTGAATTGGTTGAAACCCTGGCATTGGTTCAAACACTTTTCAGTATCCCCAGGTTGTGCCTGATTGTCCATGGCCATGGACAAGGTTGCGGACTCATTTCCTGAGGATGGTATTTTTTTCAATAGCTGCAACCCCCTTCCTCAGGAATGTCAAGCTTTATAGAAAACAGGGCATCCCCATCATTTTTGGTAGATACATAGCAGCATAGTCTTCCATAATGTTTTTGTAACTGAGTCCAAAGTGGATGCCCAGTTATCAATAAGGGAGTCACAGGAACATAATACCATGATGCAAGGCTGATGGTTATGGTTGCCACTAATTTGACTATAGTCACACACTACTCATGAAGAATAAAACCCTGGGTTACAAGGACAGGAAAACAGCCGTGCCCATTTTATTCATTCTTTGTAACGGATGGCAAATATTTACTTAGCAATTACACAATGCATATCACCAGATTAGACACTTATGTAGAACTTGGAATCAAACTGAATGCAAATAAGATGCTAATTATTACAACTGGGTGGTGCCTTTATAGTTAGACTCTGATGAATTTTTAAGACACATTTGAGGGAGAAACATGGCCAGAATGTCATTCTCTACAAGGATTTTGAAAGAGAAATCATTAAGATCCATATGCTTCCATACAGGCATGGAGATTTCTAAAACTGGGCAAAAGAATGACTTGGATTTTGTCTAAGTTTCCCCATCAGCTGCAGGAAAGTCCCTCTTCTCTTGAATAGGATGTTGTTTCATTCTGACTCTAAGGGGAATGTCACACCTGATGAGTCACCAGAGTGGCTTTCCTCAGGTAAGATCTGGAGGATTCCTGAAATGCCTCTCTGTCTCCTGAGAATCTGTCCTAAACCACGTAAACCTCAAAGACAGCCTGGAATGGCATTTAGGGAGTCCAATTAGATACCTGGATCCTCTTCTTCCCAAGCCCTCCAGGTGTGTCTTGCAAGCCCTGAATGCGGTCTTGCAGCTGATGTGACCAGGGGCACGCACAGTCTGGAATCTTTAGCAGCTGAGCTACTGCAATTTGCAAAAAAAGGTAGTACCAATGCAGTAGATAGCCATCCAATCCTGGAGTCATGTGGCAATGACTCATGCAGATGAATCATTTAAAATCAGACCAGTGAATCGATAGGGGATCAAGTTCTAAATTCAGGGAACATTATACACTGACCAAGCAAAGAATGCCAACTGAGTTTCATGATTCTAGGAAAAGAATCTTGGAATTTTTTATTAGAAGAAAACATAGAGATCATCTTATTCAGTACTATCATCTGTAGATGTTAAATGAAAGTCCAAGATCCAATAGTCTCTTAGATAAGGCAGGCAAACATTTAGGCCTTTGATTCTCAGCTGTGATGTTTTACCTTGCCACTTGAACATACTGCTCACTCTTTGGAAAACCACCACTGGTGTTAGCACTTTGGTGACATGAGTGAACTGTGAATTCCCAGTAGTTTTATGCAGCCAGACAAGCATTCTCCCTGCATTAAGAAAGCATTGGTTATAACATAAATAATATACAAGGCAACAGCCGTAGCCAAATCTGCTCACTGAGAGTCTCCTTTCTGGTATGAAAATGATGAGTGTATTTTCCCTAAGAACCTTTGGCAACAAGTACAAATAAAGCCACAAACACAGTGACAAACTGTGCTGGTTGGAGTCTAGCTGATGACATTTTTGTTATTGAAACAGGAAGTGAGTCAGCCTCAGCCACTCAGATCGTATATTTTATTCCGTTGTGTTGGCTCATTTGAAAAAAAATAACCCTGATCACAAGGCAACAATGTTTGTTTTCTAAATAACACATTTTCTTTGGAGAAAAATGTAAAACAAAGATTAATGTTTTAAGGTATTAATTGATGCTTTCTATGAAGTAGAAGCGAATCCCTCAATTAATAGATAACCATTAAAAAACTGCAAAATTTGTTTTCATAAGTATTAGAATAAAGTGAGTGGTTTTTGATAAAAATAACAGCTTAATGTTTTTAAAGGGCATATATTCTCATACTTGAATTGAGTTATAAAACTTTTATAACACTGGTATTAGTATTACTACTATTAACTGGAAGTTTACCTTTGCTTAGGTGAACATTTTAACCCATAAAAATATACTGTTTTTTTAAATTTATTGAATTTTTTTTTTTTCATTCTGAACAGAAATACTCAGAAGTTTATTATCTTTGTCTAAGATTTTGCAACTCTACAGTCTAAATTGATAATCTTAAAAAATGTATTTCAGGACAAATGCCTCAAACATTTTAATTTCCATGCATAAAACTAACTTTATGCCTATTAAACACTGAAGATATAATTTTTTCAGATTATGAGCACATTGAGAATAATGCTTCCTCCAACAAAATGTGCTTAAAATACATAGAAAAGGATTCTTTACGTTCAATAATTAGACGTTGACTACTTCAGATGATTCAAACAGAATGGCTTTAAGGTCTCTGTAGCCAGACTTGAGACATTTCTTGCCAGAGATATTTCTTGCCAATCATTGGCTTGTCTAGTGAGATGAATCTCCATTTGATGCACCATTTATTTTGCAAGTGGTTTTCTTGCTATTGGATGCTACTGTAAGAATTAAAACCTGGGGAGGTGGCAGTTGTGACCTCTTGTGCACACAGACCAGGGGGCTCAAGTCTGGGACTGGGTCAGAATCAAACCCAAACCCACAGCACACTCTCCCTGCTGCATGTTCTTCACTGTAAATGAACCCACCTCTTTACTCTGGAATCTGAAATCAGAACTGCATGGGCTAAATTATCTACAGTATGCTCAGACTATGGGTTGTTTTTTTTTTTTTTTGTTTTGTTTTTTTTTTTTTTTTTTTGCTTTTTTTCCCATCCTTAAATCTCCAAATGAATAGTTTCCATCTGTAATTGTTGGTTTTATATTTTTAAATAGTGAACCAAGACACATAATGTCTCATTATCTCTGAAATGATTCAAGCATTCACTGCTGCATGTAACTCTGTCGATAAAAGCACAATACAGTCATTTTACTTTGGGGGGAGGGGCAGTGGTTAAAGAAAGTTCCTTTTTTTTTTCTTCTTTTTTCTTTCCCTTCTGCCAATTCTACATTGCCAGTTATCTGCTGTTTCCACACTCCACATAGATCTAATTTAGGTATTAAAAGAAAAAAAAAAAAAGATACTCTAGACGTTATCCTGGATTGGCAGCTCCCAAAACACATGTGGCTTCAAGCCTTCATTGCAGATCTGAAGCAAATTATTTCTATAAATGTGTGAAAATTTGATTTTCCTAAAAAATGGCTTGTGATGCATATGAGCTAAAATCCATTCAGGAAAACCAGAGTGCCCGACATTTCTTCTCCATTATTTTCCTTTAAAAATGAAGAGTCCTTTATAGTGTTGGGGGTTTTTTTGAAATGACAGATTTTATCCATTTGCTTTTTTAAAGTCCCATGTTTTCTTGTGCTCTATCATGTAATATTTTACCTTAAAGCTTTAAGAAAACAGTGATCTGTTCCACCATCTGATGAGGGCTTCTCAACTCCGGAGAGTGACTTGTGGCGTGACTTGTGATTTCTCACCACAGAAGTTGAAGTCATTGTGGTAGTGTGCTCATTTCATAGAGGGACAATAGCACCTTAACATTTTCACACTACCATGACAACATGTTATTTTAAAGGAGTACTTTTTTGGGGGGAGGGTCAGGTAGTTCTAGGACTTAACTCCTAATGAGATGCTGCATTTGAACAAGATAATATTTTAAAGTAGTGTTATAAATAGCACATCCACAGGAGAATTTTCTTTCAATTGCACAGCATCTAAGCACAGGTAATTCTAGCCAAATATTTGCTAGCTGTTCAGTACCGAAAATTAATCATTAAAAACACTCATGCTATGTGGCATGTTTTTATGAATTGTTAAACACAATAATACAACCTTTGTTGGAAAAATATCTAAAGATATTAATTCAGGCTATAATTTGCCTTAAACCAGCTACAAACTCTAATATCCCTTAAACTAGATGGCCACAACAGCCAGGAGACCCTGGAGAGAGAGGAAGAGAGAGAGAGAGAGACAGCGAGAGAGAGAGAGAGAGAGAGAGAGAGAGAGAGAGTTAGTGCAAGCGTGCACACATGTGTACGTGAATAAATCTGTGTCTCCACTCTCAAGACTTTATCATATGGAGGGGGGAAACCCAAGCAAACAAAGAAATCAATGAGGACAATCTGTATTTGAGCCCAGGTAGGTAGAATGAGTGCTGGTTCAAAAGGAGGAGCTCTGTGGAAATGCAGTCATTGCAGTCCTGCTAGGAGCCCAGCTATGGGATCAGCAATCAGATCACTGTTTTCACTGGACCAAGAAGGCAACTGCTATTGAGAGGGACACTTCAGTACAATCCTATGGTGTGAAGCTGTTTCAGTGACAACACGTGGCCTGGTGTAGCTACCAATCAGAGATGAAAATGCAGAAAAAGAAAACAGAGCAAAAAGCAGTGCCCATTCTTCAAGAATGACTCTTTGCTCCCATGCCTCCCAGGCCATTGCTGCCACTTAGCACCAACAGGAGAAAAGCAAACCTACAGGGTCTTCCAGTGGAGTAAGGTGACATTTGCCACTGTGTTGTTGAAAAAGAGAATATATACTAGTACAGCTTCTATTATGAGTAAAGTCATACATTATCTCAATCCTCAAGCAATCCTATAGGTAAGAAATGTGTCTGAAGTCAGACAGCTAACCAGAGACTAGCTCCAAACCAAGTATGTATTATTTTGATGGCACCAAATGACACTAAGTTATTATCCTATGTTTGAACTTCACATGCAGAAGAATAAGTCATTAAGTGATGGATCCCAGGCCATATTGACCAGCTTCTGAGTTCTTTCACAATAAATAGGGGATGGCAGAATCAACCAGCCCATTCCTATAAAGCTCTTTCCAGGGAATGATGTCTATATCTCTCATCTCAATGAATTTTCCTTGGAGCCTATTAGACACGTCCTGGAAAGATGACGGAGACAGTTCCCTATCAGGTTAAACCTACAGGAACCCAAATTTCACCCTGGATTTGGGAATGCCAGTATGGATCTTTGGGATGGCCTGAGCTTTTTTGAGACATGGAGCTGAGAATGGCAAGGGTTTCCTTGTTTGTGTCCCGTGACATTGAGAGAGGAACAGGGTCATTCAGTAGAAGAGAAGAACCCAAGTACACACTTGAACAGTGTGTACAGAGTCCAGCTCCTGCTTGGTCCACACTCTGGAACTTTGGCACAAGAAACAAATCTTGGTGAATGTTCCAAGCAAAAGGTCCCAGCTGATCTGGAATCCTGGATCTTCCAGAAGAGACCCCAAGTACAATGGGCTGGTCTAGGCTTTTTTTTTTTTTTCCATATCAACAAAACTATAAAATGGAGCTGAGTTCTTTTACTGGCTATAGAATCAAAGCCCTCAAGAGCTTCAGGGATTTTTGAACTGGTCTGAAATGCCCTGGGCAGTGGTTGACCAAATCTTACATCAGCGCAAATACTCATACAACAGATGAAAACAGAGACTCTTCCCATGCACACACTTGCTATAGATTTAAAGGACTTATTTCTCCCAAGAAGTTAAGTGCATACCTTCATGACCTCCTGAAGGCAGATATTGGAGGTTGCCCATGAGCAAAAGTTATCTAATAGAGACTTGCAATCTGCACATGAAGACATCCTAAATGGATATGAAATTCATAAATATATTTTAAAATTAAGGGTAAAAGAGGAACTTTTATCACTTGATGATTATATCCTGTACACACTTCCTTCCAGATAACACTGTTTCACTTTTATCAAGCAGATTCCTCTTCTATTAAAAATACCATCTCCTCTAAGAGGCCACTCCTACCATCCTGTCTAAGCACTGCCCAAGGCCTCCTGCTACTCATCATTCCAATCCTGTTCCCTCAGTGCAATTTTTCTTCAACCAAGATATTGGTTTACCTGTTCCTTATTGTTGCCCCAATGACAACCTGAGCTATGTATGAGGAGGGACTCTTTGTCACTATTGTTTCCCAAACACAAAATTCAATACTCAACATATAATAAAAATGTGCTTTTCTTGAAACACTTCAGATGATGTTGCATGAGAGGAGTGGATGTATTCACTGGTGAAAATGTGTTACCAGAGAGATGCTAGAGATTTCTGACTCATCTGAATGTGCTAATATTTCTTGGAAGTGAGAAAGTTGCAACGAAGGAGATAAGATCTTTTGAATTGAGCTCAATCAAACATCTATTCAGAAGGAGAATCTGGTTTTCAGAGAAAAGCTTCAAAGATATGTGGGCCTTGTACACAACTGATTCTTGAAAAGGTCCCCCTCTGCGTAAAGAAAGCTCATTTTGGATTCCTCCTAAAATACCAACTTGAAGTTTTCCTACTCCTTTCATTCTTCCTTTCACACTGTTTCATTCTCTCTTTTTTTTAACCCCTTTTTGATCTTATCTTTTTCATTTTAGGCTTATCAGTCATTGTAAAACCTAGTGCCCAAAAAGAGAAAAAAAAATAGATGTCTATCATTTTCTCGATAATAAAAAAATATAATAATAAACATATATCTTATTGGATCATTTTGTGGGCTATTAAACTTATATTTTAAGTGAAATTCAATGACTATGGCTTAATCTAAAAGACCAATGGTATGATTTTTCTCCCCTTCTCTAGAGACCCCATTAAAATTAAAATATGCCATTGCAAGAAGGAATAAATAACAGGGATTAAATAGGGGGTCACTAACACATACCAGTTTTATTTTTTCTTTTTTTTTTTTTAGAGAAAGAGAGAGAAGAAAATTTTAATATTTATTTATTTTTTTTTAGTTTTCGGCAGACACAACATCTTTGTATGTGGTGCTGAGGATCGAACCCGGGCCGCACGCATGCCAGGCGAGCGCACTACCGCTTGAGCCACATCCCCAGCTCAACATATCAGTTTTCAATATGGCTCCAATAAATCTCATCCCATATCTATTTCCTCCCACATCCAGCAAAGCTCAGGCATTTATCTTCCAGCAAAACACTCTCTCCCAAAATGTTTCTTTATGAAGAAACTAGAAATAATATTTGAAACAATTCCTGACATTGGGAAAATATTTAGCCCATGGCCAGTTCTCTGCTCTCTTACCATAATGATTTGCCCCTTATTAAGTCCTGTACAGAATTCCTACCAAGAAGACATCTGTCTGGGAAAAACTTAGGGAAATTGTAGATACCCCAGTATCATCAGGTATGGGAGAGTCATAAATTTGGAAAATTAACTAGAAAAGTCAAGTGAACTATAAAAACAGAATCTTGAACCCAATGGAGCAATATCTTCAATATTCCAAGGGAAATTCACACCAAGAGGTTCATGTGAAGTGAAATTATTAATCAAGCATATGAGAAATTTAAAGAAAATGTAGACCGCTATAGACATAGAAAGGGGCCCTTGTGGAAGTTACTACAGGGTACACTCCAAAAGAACTCTAAGGAATGAACCTAGAAAAAAGGAAAAGTGAAATCAGGGAAGAGAGAGAGGACAGTCCAAGGTCAACTTTGGTGTATCATAATTAAGACAAGAGTGAAGGAAGTTTAAACTGGATATTTGTAGGCTAAAGGGTCTCCCTGTTTAATAGTTCACTTCAATTTCTTCACCATGTAATAAAAATAAAAACTTTTGGCATTTCTGAGTTGGCAAGTCATTTACCTGAGGATGTACATTGACTTGGGACCACAATTTACACATTGTCTTCCTAAGTGCAAAAATTTAGGATGTAAAATAAAACTGTGACTTATTTAGCACAAAAAAAAAGACACCTGGTATTTAAATATCTACATGGGCACAGAGAAGCAAAATTATTATTCTATTAAAAAAATCAATTTTATCCCAACAGAGTAAAATTAGGCAAAAATTTCAACTTTCATTTTAAATTTATAGATGTATTTGGAATTTATGCCTGTAACCACTCATTGATTTATTCATCCAAGTACTTATTGAGCAGTTGAGATAGTCTAGGCATCACACTAAACATTGATCATGAGAAAAGCGTAAGTACATTGTCCTGTACAGGATGTACACCAGTAACTAAAGCTAGTGATGATAATAGCACAAGTATAGTTTATGTTTATACTATGGACATAGAACATAGGAAAAAAGTTAATTTTCTTATGTAAAGAACTATTATATTTTGCAGAACCTTAATACCCAAAGACCATTTATCCTATTTGCTCCTATAAAATGTAAATTGCTTGGAAAACTTTTTAGCAATTACTTTTTAAAAGATGTCATTTGTAGCTAATTTTTATTTAGAATCTGATAGATCAGATTGAGATATAAAAGTATTCACCAGCAAATATAATTGCTCTTAATTTAATTTTATAAGGGCAGATTTGAATCTTGCTTGCAATTGTGAATCTCCAATTCTTTAACTAAATGCATTTTTTTTTTGCTCTTGTTTTGTTTTTTTTGTGGTTTTTTTTTTTTTTTCTTGAACAATTTAATACTCAATGACAGGCTTTGGATGTATACCAAATGTGTCAATCATGAATCTCTGGCAATCTCCCCCGCCCCCCTTTTTTTTTGCCTTCTTATGAACTCTGGTTCTGAATCTTAATTTCTAGAAGCTGATTTTAGCATAGCAGGCAGCATCACTGCCTGCAGAAGCTTTTCTTAGTATGAGTGCCTGCTGTCACTTGCAAAGGAAAAAAGGACGTCTGAGGACTCCTGACTATTTCCTAGAACAAACAAGCTAAGACGGAAAATAAGCATCTACAAACAGCTGTAATGCAAGACAGTAAGATGCCTCTTGACAGGCCAAGTTCACAATGCAAGCACCAATTCACAAGAAGTTAATTGAGTTACATTTCTTTTTTTAAATTCTTTTTATTTTTTAAAAATATTTATTTTTTTTAGGTGTAGATGGACACAACACAATGCCTTTATTTTTATGATGTGGTGCTGAGGATCCAACCCAGGTCCCGCCTGTGCTAGGCGAGCATTCTACTGCTGAGCCACGATCCCAGCCCAGAGTTACATTTCTGACTCAGGCCATAAACTCTTTTCACCTTTCCATGCCCCATAGTAGGCACTGGGATGTGGAGATGGAAGTCAGCCTGTTAGCTAAGAATTTCACAGACTTTGGGGAAGACAAAAGCACAGTCATCAACAATGGTGTCAGGTTCTCCAGCCATGGGAGATCAGCCACAGGGTTCACAACTATGGCATAGGCAATGAGTGCAGAAAGGGAAGGGCAGAAAGTGCACAGAGTGAGGTGAACAGAGATGGGTACTGGGGAAGCACAAAACACATGCAATGGGTTAGGGAACAGGTGCATGGGGCTCTCAGGTAATTCAACAGCAGGCACACCATGGCTAAGTCAGGAAGGGCAAGAGAAAGCAGTAATATGCAGAAGTGTGACAGCTCCAGGAGAGGGTCAGGCAGATGTTTGTGTCAAGGAAGCCTCTGCTCTTTGGACAACCAAGCCTGAGGGTACAGCAAAGCAAGAAAGGTGCATCTGCAAGCCTTTGGCTCATTATGGCCTCCTACATGCTGCCCAGACCAGACATGGTGACCTCATGTCCCTATCACCAAGTCCTGATGGCTTTCCTCAGAAGCAAGCCTGCAATCTTTCCTCAGTATTCCCACTACTACTATAATTGGTGTGTGGCCATGCCTGCAGGCTCTAGCTCAGTTAGCCCAGGTCAAATCCCATCTGTCCTATCCCTCCCAGCCTACACAACCATGATGGAAGCTCCCAGAGCACCCTCTTCTATCTCCCCAGAGGTGCCACCAGGTTCTGAGGTCCACAGCCAAGTGGCCTTAGACAAGTTAGCTCCCTGCTCTCCACTGTAGTTTTCCGATTTATAAAATGGAGATAAAGATAGCACTGACCTCAGAGGATTGTACTGTCCAACACCTACTAAATTTTGCCTTTCATTATTACTGCTTGGTGATTTTGAGCAAGTTAAATGAACTTCTGGGTCTCAGTTTTCTCATCACTTAACATAGAAGTGGCAGGGTAACCATTAGGTTAAATTAGATAATCTGTGTCAAACACTAGGTAAGCATAGTAACTAGGAAATGATATCCAAACTCTGTTTTGATTCAGTCTATTTGATAACAGTTGCTTAATATTTCTTGTCATTCTCCACATCCTTATCTTTAGTCCATAGGATCTTGCAACATGCAGTCCTATTACCATACTATTAACAATATATTATAGGGGTTAACTTATATATTTTGTATTGATTGTGGCTGACGAAAAACTAACCAAAGGAGATCCATGTCAAATCCCTGGAGCCGATGGATATGATTTGATCTGGAAGATAGCTCTTTGCAAATGTAATTCAATTAAGGGTCTTGAGATGTGCTCATCCTGCATTATCCAGGTGGGTCCTAAATCCAATCACTACTGTTCTGATTCAAGGAGAGGGAGATTTGACATTGACAGAAGAGGCAATGCAGTGTGATCACAGAGGAGTGATTAAAGTGATGCTGCCACAAGCAGCCAGAGGAGGCAAGGAATGGGTTCTTACCTTCAGTCTCCAGAGGTAATATGCTCTGTGCATGCTGTGGCCAGGACATCTGGTCTCCAGACTCTGAGAGAATAAATTTCAGTTGTTTAAAGCCTCTTATTTTGTGGCATTTGTTACAGCAGCCAAAAAGAAAATAATACACTATATACAAATATTAATTTTATATTTTGGCTCATTAGATGTTTCATATAAATATAACATAACTATACATTAACACAGAGTTTAAAGAAAGCTAAAAAAAAAAAAAAAAAAGAAAAAAACAAACCACAGGCTGTAAGAGTCAAGGATAGGAATCAAAGATATCCCAGACTCAATCTTAATTTTGACTCCATTAATTGTAAGGTGAGAGACTTCTTGAATATTCTTTTCTCTCTCTCTCTCTTTCACCTTCAATTCTGATCTGTAAAGCAGAGCAATCCATAGGAATAGGAGCAATACTTCAGCTAACATTGAAAAGTGCCTGGGGGGTGTTCAGGGGAGAAGACATTGTCAGCAGTAAACATTGTTATTGACCCATCTTATAGCATAGGAAACTGAGGCTAATAGATACCAGGTGACTTGTCCAAGCTCACACAGCTATTAGGTTTCAGAATTAGGAGCCAGATCTGATAACGTACAACTCCTATATTTCCTGTTCTAGCCTATGCCCCACCCAGTGTTTTACTAAAAACATTTTCAAATATGCAGAGAAGTTTAAAGGGTTTGCAATCATTCCCATTTATCACCCAGACTCTACAATTATCATTTTAGTGGATTTGCCTCATGGCATGTCTATCATGTATACAGACCACTACCCATCCACCCATCCATTCATTTGTCCCTCCTTCCCCCTTCTTCCTTCCTCTTCCAACTTTTCTCAGTTTCAAAGTGCATACCTTGGAATACTTCCCCTCTAACACTGCAGCTTGCACATCATTAACTGCAGTTTGATATTTGCTTATGGTTTCTCTGTCTATCTTGATGGGGCTGGATTTGCAGAAAGTTAAATGCACAGCATTAAGTATGCTAGTCAATTGGTTCAGACAAATGTAATTGGCTGTGTGACCTAAACCTCTATCCAGCTATGGAAATTGCCAGCCACTTGGGTAACTCCCTAATGCTCCTTCCAAGTCCCATTTCTAGTCATTCCCACCACAAGCAACTGGCATGCTAGTTATTTCACTAAACATCAGTTGTAAGTGTTCTAGAGCTGAAGCTATTTGAATTTTGCTGTGGATATATTTATTTATTTACTTGCTTATTTTTGGTAACAGGGATTGAACCCAGAGGTGCTTAACCACTGAACCACATCCCAGCCCTTTTTATGTTTATTATTTAGAGACAGTGTCTCCCTAAATTGCATAGGTCCTTGCTTAGTTACTCTGGCTGGTTTTGAACTTGTAAACCTCCTACCTCAGCCTCCTGAGCCCCTGGGATTACAAGAATGAGCCACTGAGCCTGAATGCTGCAGAAATTCTTGTAGACAAAGCTTCTTCCCTCAGTCTGCTTTCTGAGACCAACTCAAGGTGGATGCATGCTCTTTCTGTGGTGAGCAGCATCATATCCCATAATACCAAAACTCCCACTGATGGACTCCTGAGCAGGGTCCAGCTTTTGATGGGTATGGATAAAGTGGTATGAGACATCATGTACAAGTATCTTGGTAAACATAATCTTTCAGTTCTTTTGGTTAAATGTCTAGAAGAGTGAAGACCTGAGCCAGAGGATAGCTTTATATTTAGTCTTATTAAAATGGCCAGACCTTCACAAAGGGAAGGTTTTGTCTTCTCATTAATAAAGAGTACAGGAAAGTTTTTTTGTCACCCATGACACATCTTCATCAGCTCTTGGTGTTGTTAATCATCTTACTTTTTAGAAAAACCAGTGGATTTTACTTAATTTTTCCCTGATTATGAATAATGTGCACATTTTTTAAGGTGCTTACTAGCCATTTAAATTTTATAAAATATATGTTGAAATTCTTGGCTTATTTTTTGTTTTTTAACATTTTTTTTAATTTTTAATTTAATTTTTTAAAAATTTAGTATTGATGTGTATGGGTAATTTTTATATCCCAAATACTTCTTTAATTCTAGATGTACAATTTGAGAATATGTTCACCTAATATTACCTGTCTATACATTTTCTTAGTATTACATTTTGATGAAGTTTTAATTTATGATAAAATCATAAATAATTAGGATTTTTTTCCTTGAGGAGATTGCCTTCTATTTCCCATCCAAGAATCCTTTGCTTACATCCCAAATTATGGTATTCTTTCCCTAAGTTTTTCTTCAGGAAGTTATGGAGTTTTTTGTTGTTGTTTTGTTTTGGTGTTGTTGTTTTTCCATTTACTCTACAGTCTGTCTCTAATCAATTCTGAATATTATGTGAAGTAAGGCTGTTTCTTACTTCCTTCCTCCCTCCCTCCCTCACTCCTTTTCTTTCTTATTTCATTTTTCCTCCATATACACATATCAAAGAGTTCAAGCCTCATTTCTTGAAGACTTTCCTTTCCCTAATGGATTTATGGAACTTCACTTCCGATGAATGAAGAAAGTCTAAAATACAGTTGCTCCCAACCTGATAACAAGAAAATGCCAGGTAATCTACAAAATCCTAATTTTCTTTAGCTTATTTAAGAAAGGAGGCCAAAAGTCTCTGTGTATACCAAATCTCAAAGACAGCCAAGAAACTCTGAAAGGGTGCTACATGTTTTTTTGCCTTTGGCAAAGCAGAAGGCAGTCTCCATAGAAGAAAACACTAATATTGTAATAATTTACTGATGGGTACATGTGGGTACCAAGACGGTTTGGAATAAGTGGAATTTCATCCTCACATGCAAGTTCTTCTCCACAGGCCTCCACAAGGTGCTCATGAGAAAATCAGTAGGCAGAGTAGGAGACTGCACAAACCCCACCAGCATCACCAGGTCTGCTCTCAAAGGAAGCAAAAGCCCCTCAGTGCAGAGGGAGAGGCAGGATGTCCCCTTAAGCTCAAATTCTGTATGCCAGGAAGCCTTACTTTTCTCTTGACAAGGAAACTCCCTCCCACCTACAACCCCTTCTCCAACAAATGCAATTAAGTTTGGCTGTTCTGGGGGAAGAGGCAGATAAACTCAGAAAGACCCAGCCCCCAAAGCCCAAAGGTGCAGTGTAGGCCTAAAGTTAGAACTTGGAACATCCATACTGTCATTAGAAGCCAACCCCCTTCCCTGCCCCCACCAGGTCTCCAGGATAGCACAATGTGAGCAGGAATAGGAATACTGACAACAAAGGTAGGGACCCTAATGGTGGCCCAGGTAGCCCCCACAAGAGCTCTGTTAGGAAGTCAGTGGAGAAGTCTCTTCTTACTATTATATTTTTAGAGAAAGGCTTCTAGAGCAAAGACCTTAGACATGTATGAAATCTCCCCTAACAATGCCCCAGAACCATCACCATCATTGTACTTATACTTAGCACCCTGCATACGTTGATTAAGTTAAAAACTATCCCTAAGAGCTGGGTGTGGTGGTACATACAGGTAATCCCAATGACTGTGGTGCCTGAGGCAAGAGGATCACACATTTAATGCCAGCTTCAGCAATTTAGGGAGACTTTGTCTTAAAGTTAAAAAATAAATAAAAATGACTGGATTGATATTGGCCAAAATATGTTGTTATATGTGTGCATGTGCAAATATGTAATGACAAATCCCACCATCATGTACAACTATAAGGCACCAATTAAAAAAATGTGAGGGGGGGGAAAGACTGGGAATGTTTGATTCCCAGTTTAAAAAAAAAAAAAAAAGTCAGTAAGGCATTTTTCTTTGTTAGTTATTCTCTGCACTGTTATTTCAAAGAATGAATCTTGACCTGAAATATAATGTAGTAATTTTTTTCCTAGTTTAAAAAAAAAAAAAATGGCTGTACAGAGGGATGACAACTTACACTGTTTGCACAGAACTACAAGAAACTAGCATAGCAAATAAACATTTTACACCTATATATCTCTCATGCAATTAATCAAAATATTTTCTTAAAATTATATTTTATATAACTAAATTAAACAAATGGAATGAAGGATTAATTAATCAATTTGCTCTTAGATAAACAACATACTGATGATGACACCAGAAACAAACAAAATTGACTTCTTGACCAACAGTGGGAGCATTCTCTACCAACATAAGTAGGAGGCATTACTGGAATTATCCTCAGAACAGACTTTTAAGGTTCCTCTTAAAAGCCCCTTTTGAATAATCTAGAAGAGGGAGATCAAAAGCACTCCAAACCAAGATACCATCCAATAATCTTTAGGGTTAAAATGCAAACTTAGTTTAAACAACAGATTGTAAACAACACAACTCCTGAGGTGTGGAAGCACAAGAAAGAAAGTGCAGGAGGAGGTGGAGGTGGGGGTACCAGGCAATTGCACAGGACTCAGGAGGCAGACCCCTCATGGCCCAGGAATGTGAAAAGGAGCCTGGGGGCATCACACAGAACAGATCCTGACCCCATGGAGACAGTGGCAGTGGTGCAGATGTGGGCAGGCTGCTGGACAGAAGAGGTGAGCAGATGAGGGTGAGCCAAAGAAAGGCTTGCCCCCAGTTGGAATTTATTACTTTCTCTCCAGGACAGGGGAGGGTGTGTGTGGCAGGAGCAAGAATCTTCAGTCTTTGGAAAAGAGAGGAAAAAATAGCTCTTGTGGAAATACTGGACAACTCTAGGCCTATCTTTGCCTCTAATTTGCTCTGTGACCTGCAAGCTGACTTCATTTTACTGTTTCATTTGTTTGGGGAAGGGATTATAAAGTAAACACCAAGAGCAAACTCAGAAACTGATAAATGTTGAATAAGTGAATATTGTTTTCAGTTTATCGACTACTATCTGCCACAGACCAGGTATTTTAATACATTCTCTTCTAATTATAACGAACTAAAAACAACAACAACAACAAAAAAAACTATCATTTAAAAAATTTTTCCTATTTAAATAATGTGGCCAAAGCCTTACATGCCATATGGATAGCTAGAGTATAAAGTTCATCTTTTTTATTCCAGAACATATTTTCTCCTCTGAATGAATCTGGCTCCTGACTCTTTGTTGCTCTTTTGAATAACTAGACATAACTAGCATCCTTCAGCTCTCATGTGTATTCTTTTTCACATACAAAACGAATGATATTTTCCCATCCAAGAGCTACCTGCTTAGTATTAGTGGAAATGCCTTTCTTTTAAGCTATGACCTCCTGTCTCCTCCCCCAACCATTACAGGGACTTTTGCCTATTTTGTAAATGTATATATACTGATATGTGGCCATGTAACAGGATATGAATAATGTGTGCCCAATGGCTAATGAGTGCAGCAGGAAGTCAAAGAATTCATTCTATTTGAAATTCAGTCTATGTGCCCCATTTTTACATTTTTAATTTTTTTTCTAAAAATTAGATTTTGATTGCATATGTATTACCTCCAATTAGGTACACTCTTATAAAAAATAAACTATACCATCTTCTAGGTGCCAGGAAGTATATGTAAAAGACAAGCACAATTTTACATTCTATAGGAATGTATACAAAGACACTCATTAAAACAATAACTCCTGTCCACAAACTGAGTTAGGACAATGTCACTATTATACCATAAAGGACTCCCAGAGAGCCTTGACTAACACACACCACAGACCCTCTTAAGGTTTCCCTGACTTGGTCAACATCTCTTCCCTTCACCTTTCATGAGTTCTACCTTGTCTGGTGTCATTCAAGATTTGACCTGATTCTTGCTTCCTTTGGTAATACAAGGGCCAAGGTTACCAGCTTGCTGCTAATGACAGAGAAAACCAGAGCCCAGAATAACAATTTACCAAAGGCTATCAGTGGCTGGTTACTGAGGGGTTGGCTCAACTTGTGGACTGTTTAAAGAAAAGCCATTTCCATTTCCCTTCTTGAACATGGACCAGGTACATGTCCCTTTGTTGCTAGGACACAGGTCATCTTCTTCACAGATCATACGTAGTAGGTACAATAAAATAATAATTTTACAAAACTTTGATTCACAAAGGTTCCTGACTAGAACCTTGTGTGCTCATAATCCTGCCATGAGTCTGCTCTAATCTTCTAAAATTAAATATAGAAAATCCTCTAAAATTATCATATATATTTTAAAATGTTTAAAAAATAGTGTCCACTAAACACTATTTTTTTAAATGAAAACTATAAAAGTTGCAATTGTTTTTCATTTTGAATTTTTGAATTTCAATTTGAGTTGAAATTTCAATTTCATTTTGAAATGTCCATCCTTAATGTTTTGGAAATTGTTCTTGAAAATGAATATTAAATTTAAGGAGACAATATATATATTTTTAAAAAGACAGAAAGAAAGAAAAGAAAAAGAAACCACATTGAAAGCCTCAACCTTACCGAAATTATTTACACATTCATGGGAAACCCTCCTTGTTAAGCTTGGTGAGGAGGGTGCCTTCCACAAGATAAACAAACTTCTCCCAGTTAGAAGCAGAGGACAGTCTTTTCTTAGAATCTGAGTTATTCCACAAGTACCAAGAAAAACAACTTACTGATCCCTGGTTTTCAAACTTTAACTGGCAATAGAATATTGTGGGGAGCTTGTTAAAAATCCGTAGTTTGGGGGTGGGACCTTAAAAATTATACTTCTGACATATTTAGAGGCAAAATTTGGTTCACAGAATTTCAGTGTATGTGCCCCCATTCCCGCAGGCCAGGCAAGTACTATACCTCCGGGTACTCAGGGGTGTCCCCCAAGCTTGAGCATGAAAGCAGACAAAACAGGAACCCAGGGGATGCGGTACCACGGAACCCTCGCCCCAAGTCCCAGGGTAAGGGGGACTCCATGCGCCCAAGGTCCCATCTGCCCTGCCCTACCGTCCGACCCTTCACCACACCTGTAGGGCCCGGGCCCACTGTCCTGTGTGTCTCTCCCACGGGTCATGCTGAGGGATGGAGGGGACAGAGAGGGAAGAAGGGGGGCAGAGGAAGACTGGAGGGCCCCGAGAACACAAGGAACGCCACAGCCCTGAGTACCAAGGGGATCAGTGGGATGGAGAAGGACAGGGCGGCGGGAAGTAGGGGACCGGGCAGCTGGCCGAAAGCGGCGTGCCTGCAGGGGTACTTTGCCGGAACAGGGACTCGCGCGGTGGCGGGTCCTGATCGGGTGACCCGGACCTGACCAAGGTGGCGGGATCAGACCGTAGAATTCGGCCGGACGACCGAACTGGTGACGCTGGCCGGCCGGGTTCCTCGGCCCGGCCGCCCCAGCCCCGGTTGCGGGACTGCGGCGCTCGGCCGCACACCTCCCAGCGCCGACTCCTTCGGCGCGAGGCGGCCCGCGCCTTATATACCCTGCTAAAAATAGCCTGTGAGGCCCCTTTCCAATCAGAGCGGGCAGAGTTCGAATTGAGCCAATGGAGAGGGCTGTGTTGGAGAGGCTCGGTCACGCCAGGCGGGGCCGCTGTGTGTCACCACCCGCGATTGGTCCGAGCTGACATCATCTGCGCGCAGCCCCCGGGCCGGGAGCGGCGGGATTGGGTAGCGCGCGGGGCGGGCGCGGGGCTAGTCACGTGGGGGGAGGAGGAGTGGGGGGAGCCAGGCGGGGGAGGAGGGGGGTGGCTGGCAGCGGAGCTTTGAATAGGGAAGTTTTGCAGGGGTTACGTTTGCAGTCAGTCCGGTGTTTGCAAATATTGTGTGGGCTCCGCGCGCTGCGGGCTGCGGGAGGGTCCGGACCGGGCGTCTGATTGCCGTGCCATTGAGTTTGCATGAAACTTTCACCTGCGCTCGCGGGGAGAGTTTCGGCTCCGACTCCAGACCGCACACCTCCCTGTTTTCCCGACAGCGGGGACTGTCTTTTCCAAACCGACATGGATGTGCTCCCAATGTGCAGCATCTTCCAGGAACTCCAGATTGTGCACGAAACGGGCTACTTCTCGGCTCTGCCGTCCCTGGAGGAATATTGGCAACAGGTAAATAGAGATTTTCACGTGCCCGGTGCGCCGAGGAGGGAGTGCGCGGAGGCGCAGGCAAGATGGTGTGTGCTTGGAAGTGCATCTTTTTATGATTATTATTATTGTTAGTGTAATTTTTAAAAAATTAAAATAATTATCTTAAAATGTCCTTCTGCTGCCTCCGGTGTGGAAGGCGCTCTAAAAGGGCCTTGTCCAGCGTGGAGCAGAGTTGTCATTTGAGTAGAGCGGAGCCGCGATTCGTTGTTCCCAGTGTTTTTGCCGTTCCGGAGCTTCTGAACAGCATCCACCCGAGGGGAAACCCAAACTCCTCGGCCTGATCCCGGCCCGAGCCCTTGGCACAAGTTTGGGGCTTGTACCAGGTCCAAACTCCACAGCTGGACCTTGTCATATGAACGAACTTGTCTTGACGGCCAAGGGATTTTTTTTTTTTTTTTGGAAAGGGATTTTGTTTTTGTTTTGCTTTTTTAGTGTTTGTACATACAGTTTTTTAAATCTAAAATTTTGCCAGCGAAACGTAGACCAGGTTTTTCCCCCCTCCCTCTAGGCTATTTTCAGTTTCTTTTCCCTCTTTGGATTTCTTAACATTTGCCTAGGTCTGCCTTATTTTTCTTACCTGCTTCTCTTGTTTACCAGGGGAAGAGGGGGGTGCTGTTTGCACACCAGTGACTTGTCAGTCATATGACAATGAGCCCGTCCTAGTTGCTTCAAGTCTTAGTTTGGGAAGAGCCTCGGTTTCCGGCATTTTGGTGGATGGGAAATTTGGGCATGGGAAATTGAAGAAACTTAATATTTTCCCGTTCTGATTCTTAGGATTGCTTGAGGGATGAGAGCCTCTAACACTTGACCCATTGTTTTTAAAAAGATAGAAAGAGGGTTTGGTGTTGCCTCTCTGCCCTGCTGTGCTGTTTGTTTTTTGTCACGAAGTGAATTAGCAGATCAAATGTATTCTGTGGATTTCAAAGCCTAGAAAGCTTTGAAGAAGGATGAAATGCAAAGCTTTGCACCCTTCTCATGCCTGCTTAATTGTTCCCGATCCTCTCCTGCCTCCTTTTCCCTGGTCCCCCTCCCCCCTTTTTCCTCCTCAAAGAAGCTGCTCCCTAGGACGTGATTGAAATTGATCTAAGTAGTTTCCTTCGGGCATTTGGGATTTGGGCAACAAGCCAGACTTGGCTCCTGGTGGCCTTCAGAGGCTTTTAAACTCTCAGAGAGCTTCGTTCAGGTCTCTGGTGCTCATCAGCATAATGGAGATTTTAAATTGGCTAGATTATTAAAGTTTAACAAGATCTCAATAAATGTGCTTTCCTTTTTCTTTGGAACAACAATAAAATGTATCGCCGCCTCTCTTCAGAAAACCATAGTATGCATTGCAACTCAGACATCTAATTTTAGGGGGAAAGAGAAAGAGAAAACAATGCCCCCCCCCCACTCCCGGCTTGCTCATGCTTGCTGCATGAAGAGTCTGCGGGGAGGGGGAAGAATGTGCCTATATCATGACAGGAGGCATATCACTAAGTAAGCTAGAGCCTTTGAGTAGCCTGTGCTCAGGATGGCCTGTGTCCCCAAAATGATTTGTTGTAAAGAGCAGTTTGGTGTCAAAATTTAAATCTGTAGACTTGCCAGTAGCACAGACAACCTTATATGGCCATGCAGGCAACCTAGTGAAAATCAGGGCAGACATAATTTAATCCTAAAATGTTTCCTACCATTTTTCTTTTCCAGTGGCTAGAAAGTTTGAAATGGTGGGGAGAGGGGATGCTGATCTCGGCAGTTGTAGCTTCTTGAAAGGTTGGTTGTGGGGCTGGGGAGGGGCACCCTGTCCATGACACACTGCATGTATATTTGAACCGGGCCCTTATTTGGCTGCTGGTCAGAATTTCAAAAGGAAGTCTCCTTTGGCATTGCGTGAAAGAAATAGGAGTGATGACTCATACAGTTGTACTCTTGGCCAGTAGATAAAGTTCTTGTTCATTGTGGGACTCCCAGCAGGGCCATGGAGTAATTTCCCCCTTGCATCCTTTACAATAGCAGATGGCCATTCTGGAATTATTCCTCCACTCCTGTTGCTGAAGTCTCTTGTTTCCCTCTGACCACTGTAGAAGTAATTAAAGTTTTGTGGCATACATGGCCCTGCATTTGGGAATGGCATTCTTTGAAAACATACTAGGTCTCTGCTACACAGGAAATGGGTGGTTTCTCTGCAACTCCATTGAAGTCCCTGAATGCAAACGGCTAGTTGCTGTCTCCTCTCTTGAGTGTGGTCCTGTGTTGTCAGTTGTGTCCCTAAGGGGGTCCATCAGAACACCCTGTGTGCTGTGCAGTCTTTTCTGTCTTGTGTGGATACTTGTGGCGTGTGAAAGGTGGATGGCTGGGGCTTTCCTTAGCACACATGGTTCTTGAGAATGTCAGAGAATCTGGTTAAACCTGTTGGGGGGGTATGTGTGGCTGATTTTCTTTGTGTGGTTTACTGGGAGACTCATTAGAAATGTCAACACTTGTAACTATAACAACAAAACAGGCTTAGTGATCATCACTCCTGTGGCCGTTGGTCTAGCATTGGGGAAGCCTAGAGAGGTTTCACCCTCTGCATTTCCTTCTGATTGTTACCATTCCTAGAAATGAATTTCCTCTAACTTTCATAAGGTCACAGATTCTGATTACAGAAGGTGTTCTGCTCATAGTGAGTGACACTGCCACAGTTTACCTGTCCTTTGTTCTTGCATGTTTTGCAAATGTGCTTTTGGTTCCAGTCTTGGTAGTCTTATCAATCACGTGCCTTCTTTCCGTTCATTTTGCACAGACCTGCCTGGAGTTGGAACGCTACCTCCAGAGTGAGCCCTGCTATGTTTCAGCCTCAGAAATCAAATTTGACAGCCAGGAAGATCTGTGGACCAAAATCATTCTGGCTCGGGAGAAAAAGGAGGAATCAGAACTGAAGATTTCTTCTAGCCCCCCAGAGGACACTCTGATCAGCCCGAGCTTCAGTTACAACTTAGAGACCAACAGCCTCAACTCAGATGTCAGCAGCGAATCATCTGACAGCTCAGAGGAACTTTCACCCACTACCAAGTTCACCTCTGACCCCATCAGCGAAGTCTTGGTCAATTCAGGAAATCTGAGCTCCTCTGTAACGTCCACACCTCCTTCTTCTCCAGAACTGAGCAGGGAACCTTCTCAACTATGGGGTTGTGTGCCTGGAGAGGTACCTTCACCAGGGAAGGTGCGCAGTGGGACTTCGGGGAAGCCGGGTGACAAGGGTAGTGGCGACGCCTCTCCAGACGGCAGGAGGAGGGTACATCGATGCCACTTTAACGGCTGCAGAAAAGTTTACACCAAAAGCTCCCACTTGAAAGCACACCAGCGTACTCACACAGGTCAGTCCCCTCATGGGACCTGGGAGGTCGGCCGCTGCGGGGCGCCACTGAATTGCACCAGCCCTGGGAGGGAGCCAAGGCTCATCAAACAAATTCTCACTTCCTAAATTCTGTTCACCAAAGACTTGGTTCTCTTTGGAGTTCAGAGTAGAATCTTACAGGATGGACAATGGAATCGAATGAATGGTTAATACTTTCAGATTAAGCAAAGCAAGAGGCTAGATGGTATTTTCCATGGACACCCAAACCTCCACCCACTCAGAAATCCAGTTGGTCAAGATCCATGGTGCTCACTGTACCAGTGTACATGTTATATTGGGTTGCTCCTCATTCTTTGAAATGAAATTCCAGGAACAGGACAGAGGGTCCCTGGGCAACGTGGAGTGAATTAGTATTGGTGGTGAGAGTGTGAGTGAGAGTGTGTTCTGGAAGCATCAGTATTGATCAGTGGTGTTTACTGAGAATATCTTTGTGTCATACAGCCTTTGTTTTCTGATACCCCTTAGCTCAGCAGTGACTTCTTAATGAAACCCCACAACTTAGATGAAAGGTCTACAAATACCTTGAGGATGTTTAGGATCACTGGTGAAGAGTCACAGACAGTTTTGAGCTGGGAATGTTCAAGTGCTATGAATTCTTATCTTACCAACAGGAGAGCAAATTGCTGGGAGATGAAATCAGGGTCTTGAAAATCAGGCTTAGTGACAGAGCTAAGAAGGGGACATGGGGAATCTGTCCCAGATTTTTACTTTAGCTTTCCTCTTTTATTTTTTTATTCTCAGCACTTTTATTGAACTCATATTTATAATTTGACCAGGCAATGAAGTCAACTTGGTCATTTGATTGCCATTTAGAAAGTGATTCTGAAGCCTTGGAATGAGATTTTCCAGAAACTCATGACTTCAAGTGTTGTAGACTATAGAAGGTCCCAGAGGAAACTACAGAGACTCATTCCTTGGGGAAGTGAGTAAGGAACAAAATAATGCTGGAGGGAAACAGTTTCCATGGAGAAAGCAATAAAACTCTGCCCTGCACAAGGCTGTGGGACCAGTGGGCTGACACTTCACCTCCCAAGTATTTCGCCAGCCTGAGTAATTGTCATTGTCATATGTTGACTTGGATTTTGCTAGCATGGCCTTGGCCAAACCTGGGTCCCTG